AACTGTTATCCAGAAATTCATGAAACTGATCAAGGGCAGAGCTAGGCAGGCAGGGTACTCTGAAAAGTTGAGCAATGAAAAGCCTGGGAACTCTCCAGAGAAGACAACACAGTCACCCTGCACTGGTGAGAAAAAAGGCAGCTCTGACTGAACCGTTTCCCATGCAGTATCAGTGAGCAGAAAGGGTCAGCATAGCCAGCCCCAAGGGAAACTGGCCGTGGAAAAGATGGAAGGAGCATTTACTAAGGACAAAAGCACACCTGTCTGAACCATAGGAGGAAGGACACCCCCCAAACAAAGGACAATGCTGAGAACAATAGCCTTTTAAAAGAAAGGTGCGTTTTTTTAGCTAGAAGAAAGCAAAAGTGGACTTGATTCTCGAAATGCCTCTCACAGGTGCAAAGAATTGGGACAGTAGTCCCACACTGGATGCTGCAAGTGAGGTTTTTGTTGTTGATTCTGTTTCTTCTGCCTTCAGTGCTAGGGAGCTAACACCAGACCTTGCGCATGCTAGGTAAGTGCTGTACCTCAGAGCTTCAGCTCTATCACTGTATGTGAGCTTTAAGGAATCAGGAAAACAAGTGAATTGGGGAAACCTGGAAATGAACCATTCTCCTCTTAATCTCAAACTGGCAGAAAGGAAGGAAGGAGGGTGAGGTGGGTCCTGTGAAGTGAGGGGAAGCATCTGATGGATCTGAGAAGCTTGAAAACAAAGTAGGGACTCACAGGCCAGTGAGATGTGTCAGTGGATGAAGGTGCTCACTGGAAGTGTGGCGGCCTACCTCTGAACTCTGGAACCCAGCCTCAAAGTTGAAGGGAGAGAACCAATTCCTCTAAGTTGTCTGCTGGCTTTTGATACCAGTATCTTGGCACATTCCTATACATACACAAACACACAATAACTAATTTTTTTTTAACTTTACAAAGATCAAGTCACATCTGAAGCTGGGGAGATAGCTCTGTCAGGAGGGCCTGAGTTTGATTCTCAGAAGTTACAAACAAAAATACTGGGTATGGTGGAATGCAGTTGTAATCCCAAGGAGAGATTCTCCGGAGCTCACTGGCTAGCCAGCCTTCCCTAATTAGTGAGTTCCAGACAAGTGAGAAATCAAGTCTCAAAATATGGTGGGCAATGACAGCCAAGGTTGTCCTTTGGCCTACACACACACACACACACGCTTACACAGGCACACGTATACACAGGCACACGCATACACAGGCACATACTCACAGTCATGCATCCATGCACACATATACTCATGCATGCACAAACAGATTAAGGTATAAGTTTCATCAGATTTACCTCTTTGGCTTGTCTGCAATGGGTCTGTCCTGACAGACCAGGAACACCCATACTTCAGGGCAGTGCTACAAAAAATGTTGCTTGAACATATTTTGGCAAAGAATATAGGCTGGATGTTAAAATAAGCCTATTATTATCAGAATGGGATTAAAGTTGGGGGTGCATTATCATGCATAAGCATAGTATATGTTGTAGACTCACCTGTAAGCAGGTGTTGACATGTTTGGATGTGTGGGAGGATATTGGCACGGATGCAGGTGTGTGTATGTGTGCTTTGTGTCAGTTATCAACCTCTACTGTTGCTTCTGCTTTGGTGAGGGGATCTGCCAGACTGTACCTCAGCTGTTGACTTAGAAGAATAGCCATATGTCTAGTTTGGCACAAACTTCAAGACAGGTCCAACGATGGAGCAGGCCTCAGGAAAAACAAACAAAAAGTATCAGAGATGCACTTGGCCATGGACTGGGGGCCACCCTCCTCTCCCCCATTGTGCTCACCCTCTGTACACTTCCCTTCCTCCTCAGCTGTTTTCCCAAGGTGGTCTGCATCTGATGGTGACTGACTTGAGTGCTTTTCTCTCCTCTTCCTCCCCACAGTCAGTTCTGAATGTGATCAGTGAGCTGCAGGAACAGATGTGTAGACTGCAGTTGGACATCCACAGGCAGATTCAAGAGCGCCTGTTACTCGGTAGGGCCCACCCTGAGGAGGTGGTGTCCGGGGACCATGAGGCCAAGCCCCAGACCTGCAGCCAGGACTGTGCCCCTTGGGAGGGGTCACCTGTAGGAACCATACTTAAGTATATCGGAGCATGTGTGTGTGATGTCTCAGTGGTGGAAGGCTGGGGTTTCTCCTAACCAGAACTGTGTGCAGTGGCTTCGCATGGATCTGCTGTGACCTCAGGGCAGAATATGGCCTCACACAAACCTCTGTTGATGTGAGGTGGGCTCTGGGACCCTCATCAAGCAAAGTTTGAGCAGGTGAGAATAGGCCTCAGAAGGTCACATTTCCCTATCTTTAGGAATAGGATCAAGGTGTGTTGCAGGCTCTGAGTGATGGGGGATTTGTGTGAAAGGAAAACTCAGGATTCTCTTTTCCCAGTGTACAATCCAGACACTTGTCCCTCCCCCTGGACTGGGTGTTTAATGAAGCTTTAAACACCATGAAGAATTGTAAGATTCTCCTTTAAATAGCATCATAGGAAAAATCCTTTCAAACCCCATGTTTAGAGATGTTTAGCCTCACCCCTTCCCCAGGGAGTAACCACAGCAGCATAAGTTTTTTCATTTGTTATGAACAACTAAGTCATCACCTGAATTTCCAGGAAAAAATAATGCAAACAGTATAGTCACAGTTTAGAGAGTTCATGACCTTTGGGTCATATGCCAAAGAAGTCACAAGAAACTAGAGAGCAGTAGCCTGTGCTTTCTTGATTCTGCCTCCAGCAGGCATAGTGGCTTCTCAGAGCAAACAGAGCAGCTCTTCTAAGACAGAAGCAGGACAGACAGACTCTTTCTTCCTGCTTGGCATTGGAACAGGTTAGGCAGGGCCAATGATATTACTAGAAAATGATAATGAATCTCTGGCAAGTCCAAATATGCAACCAAAAGTCTTGAAGATCCCAGTGATGAAGATGAAAGCCACAGTTACCATAGCTTAATGGGCCTTTTCTTCAACAGGTACTAAGAAATCCTTAACTCAGTTATAAGTCATTTTTAATAAATTAATAAGATTCATGTGGAAGCAGTGTTACTTCATGGTAGATTATCTCAGAATGCAGAGATGCCTAAGCCAGTTAAATAATGACTTTATCAGGGTGCCAAGACCTGCTGGGTAAGAGGTTCACAAAGACTCCCCAGCCTTCACCGAAGAGAACAGAACTAGCTACCAGCAACCTTACAGATAAACACCTGAGTCCTACAGAGGGGTCTAATATGATGAGGCGGTCTGGGAAGCTTTGCCTGAAAGAGGCTGAAAGATAGACAGGAGTTAACATGGGGGACAGTTAGAGAATGGTGTATGTATGGAGGTGTAAGCTGTGACGAGGGGTTGAAAAGTCTCCAGTGTGACATGTTAGAGCTGAGCTGGGGCAGGCCAGGATGGTCATGAGTTCAAGTTTAGAAACTTCAAGAAGCAGGGGAGTGCTGTGATTAGATGGGTGAGCTAATGCCATTGCTCCTCTGGATGTTTAGCAGTGAGGTTTTCCATAGGGCCAAGGTCACAAAGGGGCCATTGGAAGATACTCAGGCTATCAGCGCTCATTGCAAGACCAGAGTGTGGTGTGTTGGGAGGGAAATGAGACATTATAGCAATATTTTGGATGTAACGTAGATAGAGCTTGGACTGATACGAAGTAGTTGTTACCTGAACTGATTGTTCATTAAGTAAATTTTGGTTCAAGATCACAGTGTTGGCAGAGCACATTGGTAGTACATGTTTTAACCCTCAGTGTTTGTAAGGTAAAAGCAGGATTGCAAGTTTGAAGCCAGTCTGTACTACACAGTGAGTTACAGGCCAGCCTGGGCTATGAGACTCTGTCTCAACCGAACAGAACAAACCCAACAAAGATAACATTGCTGAGTGTTGGCTCCTTTATTGAGGAAATTTTTAACCAGAGGTCCTAGAGTCAGAAGATATGAGCTTGAATTCCTGCCCCTCTTACTACCTCTACAAATGTATATGTGAAAGTTGTTTAAACATCCCTTCCCCACTTCTCATTCAGTGACATGCTGAATACTCTGATCTGCAAAGCCCTATGACCCAGCTCCCTAATCTCATCTCCAGTACATACTGATGTCTAACCTCTACTCCACCAACGCTGGGCTATCTCACTTTCTGCCTCCTATTGAGGTTCCTTTCTGCATGCCTTCCCTGTTTCTTCTTGCTTAACCTCCTCCCCTGAATGGGACACTCATGCTGGCATCTGTAGTTTGCTCTCTGAATCTTACTGGCTGTGAAGCCTCAGAGAACTGCTGCCTCCTCCTCTGGGTTCCCCACCTTCAGCACAGAGAGAGCCCCTTGTTTCCTGCTCCTCCCTTTGCACCACCAGGGAAGTTGCCTCCCTTCAATATCTCTGCTCCTCCGACTCACAAGCTTGACCTGTCTGTCTGAGATACCTGTGCATGAGCTGGGCATGTCTCTTGGGGGTTCAGATGTCAGAGAAAGGGGAACAGAACGTAAGAATGAGGATAATTTTGAGTTTTAGGCTGGGAAGGTAGCTTGGTTGTTAAAGTGATGAGCATGAGTTTCATCCCCATAACTCATGTTTAAAACAAACAAACAAAAACAACAAAAAACCCATATGCAGGCCTACCACTGTGGGGTAGATCCCTAGGGCTTGCTGGCCAGCCAGCTAGAAACTTGTCCTAAAAACACAAAAGAAAACAAAACAAAAACCCTGCAGTGGCTGAGGAATGAGGAATGTACCCAAGGTTTTCCTCTGGCCTACACATGCTCACACAAAGGCATACATATGCACACAGCAGTTTCATTTCTTTTATGTCTGGAACTCCCTAGCCTCTGTTTTTAAAGGGTACACAGTCTTTTCTGAATCACGGACCACATTTGAAGTTCAGAGCTACTGTCACGGAGGCTGCTGCAGCTGCTACTGGCCCCAGCTCCCTTTGCATGAGCTTTATCCAGTGTGGAGAGTCAGTGCATGCTCTTTATCTATCACAGCTGTCATTATCCTTCTCTGCAGGAGCTACTACAAGAGCTCAAGCACCTCAAAATCAAAGTGGAGGAGCTGGAGAACGAACGGAACCAGTACGAGTGGGAGTTGAAGGCCACTAAGGTAAGAGGCAATATGAAGCACCTGCAGAGGGGGAGGGGCAGAGGTTCTACTGGGAGGGGTTCTTAGGGTTCTCTACAACAAAAGCTTAAAAACGCCCAGACTGTAGCAGGCAGATATGATGTAAAAAAGTTCCTCATGAAAGCCTGAGAAACTGAAGTGAAAGCTGCTGAGGTACCCTAGCCATGTCTCCTTCCTCCTATTGTCCATTTTTTACTTAGCCAAGAAAGATGTTAAGTGAGTGGGTGAGCAGGCTGGCAGAGTGAGGGAGGGTGAGTGTTAATATTTAGGCAGCCTGCTTATAGATCCCAACATTCCTCCCTTTTTGTTTTATTAAAAAGTGAGAAGCTAGGAAGGGATAATGGTGGGGAGGGCATAGGGGCAACCTTTGCTCTTCAAGCTACATTTGTTGTTGGAGGAATGTAGAGAGGAAGTTAATTAAGCAGGGTGCAAAAAGCAAAAGCAGAAAGATGAGCAGAAGAGGTGTGAAGAAGGGCAGAAGCAGACTGCCTAAATACTAACATTGAGCATCAGGAATTTTGTTGGGGACATCATCTTAAACTCAGCAGTCCCTATTACTGTCAGTTTTCTTTGTTTTTAAAGATTTATTTTATATATTTTTCTTTATGGCCCTCCCTCATCTCTTTCCTCCCTTCTCATTTCTCTCCCTCCCACTTTCCATTTCTTCCTCAATTTCTGGTGTTGATTTATTTAAAAATATAGATTGTGCTTTTTTCCACATTTAAAAATTTATGATTTAAGTTAGCAAATGCTGACATGATGTTAGAATGAATATAATCATATTCCCATGTATAAATATAACATCCTTAACCTTTTACAGATGACAAAATGGAGACTATCGAGATTGAGTACCTCTGCCACCCTCTCACAGCTAATCAGGCCTAACCTGTCAATGAAGGGCTGTTGTCTGAACACACCCAGCCTTGTGTGTGCTGGGCTTTGTTGTCACCAATTCTAAGAGCCTTGTTTTTCCAGTAGCTCAAAACTTTCCACTACGGCACTCACTCCTGCAAGTCTAGCCCAGTTGAAGCCTTTGAAGTCACATACACCACTCTTTGTTTTGAAACCAGGGAACTCTGCCTTTTAATTCACCCAATCTCTCTGCCTTGTCATGTGGACCTGTGAGATGCCGGCTGAGGCATCTTTAATGATTACCAGGTGTGAAACAGCTCCTGCCAGAACCCACCCAGCCCTTTGCACACTTTCCTTTTTTAGGTCGGAAAATAGTTCAGTGGGTGTGTTTGATGCTGATTTTGCTGGTAAGGAACATGAGACTTCAAGTGACCAAGGCGAGGTTCAGGCCTTGGTCTCCCCTTTCTGTGCTTTCCTGCTCCTTCCTCTAGTGGCATCTTCTCCACCTGAACTCCTTCCTGTGTTTGTGAGCTGTTCAGTTTTCTGTGTAAGCCTCCTCAGTCCCTAAAGGTGGCTCATATTCAGTGCAAGCAGCAGTAGAGTGTGTCCCCTGAACTCAGTAAGACACAGCCTGAAGGGATGCAGGATATCCTTTCCTGCTCTGCAGGGACCCAGAGCACCCATTCCTGCCTCACTGCCAGACTTCTGATCACCTGCAGCCTGGAGCAGCAGGCCCAGAGGGTGGAGTTCTGCACAAGAGCAGACTGAGTGAGTGGGTAAAGCTCTGTATTGGAGCAGCAGGCTGGCTGATGATGTCCCGTTATGAAGCGGGGAGACTGAGGTTTGTGAGGCTCTAAATTGGAGCAGGCAGTCTGGGTAGTGGTGATTTTGTATCGGAGCAGGTGGTCTCAGGTTGGCAACTGTTATGTTTTGAATGATAACGGGCCTCCCACAGGTTCATGTATTTGAATGTCCAGCCCCTAGTTATTGGAAAAGGATTAGGAAGTGTGGCCTTGTTGGAGGAGGTGTGTCACTGGGAATGGGCTTTACATTTTCAAAAACCCATGCCAGGCCCAATCTCTCTCTTGCTCTGGCTGCTGCCTGTGGTTCGGGATGCAGGGCTCTCAGCTACTGCTCCAGCGCCATGCCGGTCTTCTTTCTGCCTTGATGATAATGAATTAACTCTCTGAAGCTGTAAGCAAGGCCCCAGTTAAATAATTTCTTACATAAGAGTTGCCGTGGTGATAGTGTCTCTTCACAGCAATAGAACAGTAACTATGACAGCACCCTTGCCTGGTCACTCATTGGCTATTTAATTTCACATGGAATCATGTACTGCTCCCGCTTTCTCCCAGTATTTTCAGGAATATTGTTTTCCCCATGGGTTCTTCTGGGACTGTGAGATTTGAAAGTGGTGAGAACAGTGGCTGCAGGGTGGGTGCTCAGTGTGATAACACTAAACAAGACCTGGCAGGCAGAAGAGTCACTAATGGGATCAGTGTTCATCTGGTTCCTTGCTGCTGTTCAGTGATTGACTTGGGCCCTACATTATGTTCTGATGACCACAGTTGGAATATCCTTAGGTTCCTACCTGGCAGTGAAAGAGCAGGGTAGATGCCTTTGCTGTGTGTCCTCCTACTCAAAGCTCAGTTCTAACCCCTGTCTTGGTTTGATGGTCAGAAGAGAGCTTTTTCCCAAGGGAAAGGATAGGATGAAAAGAATTCTTACTATGATTGCAGTATTTACCGGGCCTCTAATATGTGATAAGTGTTAAACCTAGTTGCCTGTAATGGTTATATTATTTACTCTTCCTAAAGGGCATGAAGTAGGAGCTATTGAGCCAAGACTCAGAAAGGTGCAGTTACTTGTCTGAGGTCATCCAACTGGGACATGAGAGATTCTAGATTTGTTTGGCTACAAAGAACCTCTTGGAGTGAGACAGAAAGAGCTTTGATTTTTTTTTTAAATGAGTCTGGAAAGAATGGACAACCATGCATAGTGCTGTGTGTGAACTCATTGTGCATAGTGGAGACATGGGAGCTACTCAGTGCCAGTGCGTCTGCATGTGTGAGTGTGTGTGCAGTGTGCTTATGTGCTTTCCCTTCAAAAAAATATGTACTATATACACGTCAAAGCTTGAGTATACACAATACTCATGGGCAAACATGCAGCTGGAGGTTGGGCAAAAGCATTGACTATACAAAAGGAGAGTGTCTAAGGAAGGAAGTCTTGGCTGATCTCAAAATTAGCTGTAATGATTTGGTTTCCACTGTATTTCCAAGTGTAGTGGAAAGGTGGAATTACACGTAATGTTACAGTGACATATCTAAGTGGGGATGTGTATCTTGGGAGAGGAAAGACCACATGCAAAATTAATAGTCCAACTTGTGCAGCAGGGACAGAGCCATCCCACTGCATATGATCTCAGCTCCTCTGGGCTCAGTTTTCCCTGGGCCTTACAGAGCAGGGAAGAGAAAGAGATTGGTCAGATAAGAGGATACAGGAGCAAGGTGATGGCAGGCAAGTGAGTTCCTTCTACAGGGTTCCACCCAGTGGGGAGGACAGTTATCTACTCTCTCTCTCCCCCCTCTCTCTCTCCTTACCCATGTCCTTCACTCCTCTTGTCTCTTGGGGTCCAGTGGGCTCTGGGCTATGACATGAGGTATATGAGCTGGAAGTCCCTCTGACCTGGAAGGGATTCTCTGTTGCTTTTTCAGGCTGAGGTAGCCCAGCTGCAAGAACAGGTGGCCCTAAAAGATGCCGAAATTGAGCGTCTTCACAGCCAACTCTCCCGGAGTGCAGCTCTTCACAATGACCATGTAGAGCGAGGTAACTGGATAGACTGTGACAGAATACATTGTTTAAGACCCTGGGTCTATTCTTATAAGTGGCCATGAATCTGTGAATGTATGCTTGCATATGTGGGTATGAATAACATGCGCATACATACATGTGTATGTGTGAGCATGCACATGCGTCCTTGCCTGTAAGGCTGAGTTCTGGTGTGGGATCATTGACATGCCCACTGCACCGCCTCCCTTATCTAGAACACTCAGTGCTGAAGGCCCTCTGGAGCTTTTTTCCTAAAACCTACTGACCTCATTGGATTGAAAGGCCTTGCCTTGGTGTTACACCAAAGAAGAAGCTTAGCAGTTCATCTCCCCTGACGTCTGTACAAGGCCCTGAGATTATAGAAGCAAGCCAATTTCTTGTCATCCTTAGAGCTCTACTTAAACATCATTTCTTGGGAAGCTCTTCCTGGCCACCCAACCTCAATTAGGTGACTCTGGTCCTGTTATTCTCTAATTTAGTTAGCAGCCTCACGTTCCCAACATAGCTCATACTATACCTTAGCAGTGCTGTATTTTGGGAGATCTTGAGGTTGCCCGACTGTGAGTCCAGGATTTTATCCTCCTTTAAAAGCACCTCAGAGCCTAGCACAATATCTTGTCCACTCTAAAATTGAGTTATTGAATAAGTGAGATGAGACTGGCTCTTTGGGGAGTTCAAGTCTTGCTGATCAAAAACAGAAGAAACCCTCAAATATTCTTCGCAACATAGGTAGTATGTTTGTGGCAATTCTCCAAGGATATGGAAAGATCACACATGTCCAAGCTCCTCTTCTTGCCACCTGGATACTGAGCAGTGTCAGTCCTATGGGTTGTGTGGCTCTCTAGCCTTATGGCCTCAGCTTGGACCTCCAGCTAGAGTGAGAACATTCTCTAGCCTTGTAACAATGTCTGAGCTTGAAAAAGAAATAGTTGACCATCAGGCTCAACCCTCCCCATTCTTTCACAAGTAACCTTCCCATGCTTAGACTGTCATTTAAGCTTAGTCAGGTTGGGTCTGACTAGTGCATACAGTTTTAGCAGTCATTCTCTGAAATTACCCTCCCACCCTCAGCATCTCACCCCGCCCCAAACAAACTGAGTAGCAGAGCTGATATTGGTACCAGGAGCCTAAGACTCCACTCACTCTGAGAATGAGCTCACACAAAGTCCACATGTATCCTGATACTATTTTTCATGAACTGTCAAAAAGGAAACAAACTATCTCTACTTGGGATCCCTTGTCTCTTTTACTGTTCTTACACAACAACATCTCTTCCTGTTGGTTATCTCATTTTAGGCTTAAACATAAGTGCTTCCCCCCCCCCCCCAGAATATAGAGCTCCATGCCAATTCCAAAACCTCTAAGAATCTCACAAATGGCCTCTTTCTCCTTCAGTCCTATTTGGGAAGAAGTCAGGCATGTCCGCATTGATTCTAAACTTAGATTGTTTTCTACCATAGACCAACATAGACCCTTGTCTATTTCTGATGAATTTTCATTGCTCTCCTTTAACCATAACATTTGCTCTTCTGTATTTATTAGTGAATCTAAACATTGATTTTTTTTGTCCAGGTAGATCTTGGACCTTGTATCTCCTACCTCAGCTCAGGAATAGCTATGATTATAGGCTTATAGCTCCATGCTCATATATAGACATTTCTTTAATCAGGTTATACAGTTTTAAATCAAGCCAGCTACTAAACCTTTGTATAATGCCCACTCTCCATTTATCATCCATAAATTGTTTTGGTTTTCTTTTCTAAAATTTTCCTCTGCTTCTAGTTTGTCTGACTGCATGGTCTTCCCTGAAACTAGTCACGAGCTGAGGCATGTGCTCACATAGAGTGTGAATACTTATATTCTCAGGTGGTGCTGTTTATGAAAAGCTTTTTATTCCTCTGTCAGTTTTGAGTGAATGATTTTTTTTTTATTTTGCTCCTAGATGCCTATCTTAGAAAGAGAAGACAGAACACTAGGTTATTCATAAATGTATCCAACAAGTGTCTAATGAGACCCACTGTGTCAACACCATCTTGGGTTCTTTGGACTAATAAAAGGAGTCACATTCATGTGTCAAATCTTTAAGTTTGAACTTGAAGGCCATCAGCATATGTGAACAGCTGTCAGCATTTGTACAAGTAATTCCTTTTATACCTCAATTCTTTTAGATCAAGAAATCCACCGTCTGAAAATGGGGATGGAAACACTGCTGGTTGCCAATGAGGATAAGGTGAGACAGTTGCTGTGGTTTCCTTGCAGGTACCTCTAACCCTTTGGTCCCTTCTGGTCTCTGCTCTACTGGACAGTGCTATGCTGTCACTGGCAAGATGACAACAGCTCTTGCCACTAGAGACTCAACTTCACTACTTGTTTATGATGGATGAGACCTTCACCTAAACTGAATCTCCCAAAGGCAGCTTAGAGCCCTGCTTGTTCATGGTGGTATGGTGACAAAACCCTTCTGCTCATTCAAGTCACCACTCTTAGTGGTGACTCAGCAACAGCCCCCATGTGTGCAAATTACCTCTCATGGTAGAACAACCATAGAGACACTTAGCAGTGCAGTGCCTCAGTTTACCCTACTACCTTATCATATTTGATTCCTGCATAATCATAAAATAACCATATCCATACACAGAAAACTACCTAGCTAGTGTAAATTATGTCTCTGAGAATCATAGCCCCACATTTTCAGCTGAAGGAAGAGATACAAAATGCCTAGATAATTCTGCACAGGGTCTGGTGACTAGAGGATAGTAGAGTCAAGATTTCAAACCCATGTATTTCAGGATCTGTGTGACATAAGTTCCCAGATTGTAGCCTTGAAAGAATGGATCCTTTCTAAGAATATCCCTTGTTCTATACAGTGCTTCAGAGTCCCAAGAAAGGGGTGAGGAGATTGGGATATGTCTTACATGTGTAGCTCTAGGGGGTGACACAGGAATGAGAGGCATACTTTATCAAGGCTCTTCCCGGAGACTGTCCAGCAGAGGCTTTTAGTTCTGCCAGCACATAGGCTCCTCAATGGCATGCCAATGACTACTGACTCACACCTTCATATAGGGTCATGAGTGTCTGTAGCTACCTGTGAGGCAGACCACTGAGGCCCAGCGGACCCTGACTTTCCTCTCTGTGGGGTCCTTAGCAATCTTACATGGAATACAGTTGACTAGGGGCTAGTGGTGGTGTTAATCTTGATCTGCTTTTCTACCATGACAGGACCGTCGGATAGAGGAGCTGACAGGGCTATTGAACCAATACCTAAGGGTGAAGGAGATTGTGATGGCAACTCAGGGTAAGAGAAGGAGGAAACCCATTTCCCCTGAAAGATGCTTTGTCTACTGTGTCAGAGGCAGGAGGAGTTCTGCTATCAGGTCCTCTGCCTTCTGGCTGGAGACAGATTCGGGAGTGGATCTGTGTGTAGACGCTTGGATGGTGCAGTTGGTAATTTCTGGAAATTTCACTCAAATGATAGTCAGGTCAGAACTTCTAGGGACTGCCCATCCAGTTAGCTCTTGGGATTCCTTTCCATTAGAGGGCCTCGATCAGTCTTCTTAGGATCTCCCTTCATGGCAGCAGTAGGAGTCAAACTGGGTCAGTCAGAACCCTCATGGGGCTCAGAGCTTATCAGATTCTCACAGGATTTGTAGTTTCCTGGAGATGCAGAAGGCACATAGGGGACTTACATGAGTCACCAGATGCCTAGGTTGCCATAGAAGATCATGTGTTTCATGTTTACCATCTAGACCAGTGTAGCATACAAACGCCCATATGTTCATATGAGCATAGTAATGCTCCTGGGGCCATGCACTGGACCTGGCTCCCCTTGCTGACCCTGCAGGACAGTTGTTTGAAGGATATCTGATTCTGGCTGAGCTACCGACTCTGTTTGGAAACAAACCTTGTCTCTGCTGGCATAAGAACTGACTGGTTCCTGCCTAAGGCACGTGCCAGGCCTCACACAAATGTTGCAGCCTCTTTTCTCTTAATTTTTTTGTGATTGCCCTTGGCCAATAAATAAGAAGTTGGAAGCAAGAGGTGGCTTACCTCTGTTTCAGGGATAAACGTTGACCTTCAAGTGACCTTCATGGCAACACTTGATTGGATGCCCTGAAGAATTTTCCCAGTCACACTATTAATGTCTCTTTTTGTAGTAATTACTTGTTGCTCTGGTCAAATACCTGACAAGAAGCAAGATAAGAAAGGAAAATTTTATTTTGGCTCACAGTTTGAAGATGCAGTGTGCCATGGCATAGCACTGACTCCTTGTATTCTGGTTGGCCAAGAAGTGGAAAGACTGGTCAGAAATGGGCTGAGTGGTGACCCCTAAGGCTCACCTCTGAAAAGCCTCACAGGCTCCCAAAACCAAACACAAAGCCTGGGATGGACATTCCATATCCATATGTCTTTACATATGTCTTAGTCTTTCTTGGTTTTGAGACAGGGTAGAGTAACACCCCTAAGCTGAAGCAATCCTTTTTAGAATTTGTTAATGAAGATCAAACACCATTAGGGTTTCATTGTATGAGTTTTTGAGCAAGTCTCACAATAGTGACTTACCACTACTGCTTTAATATTTCCAGGGCCATCAGAGAGAACGCTCTCAATCAATGAAGATGAAGCAGAGGGAAGCTTCAGAAAATGGAATGCCATGAATAAAAGTCCAGAGGAAGTATTGAAGCAAGAGGTACTGTACTTCCTCCCATAATGTAGGTTCAGTTGCCATTGGAGAGGCATCTGGCAGACACCTTTTCATTATGCATCTTAACTGATAAATACTTCAGTCCAAGGGATGAAGTCCTCAAGCTTTGGCAAAGGTTCAGGGAGCAAGGACCCAGCTCAGGCCTGAGCTCCACCTAGGGACAGCATGGTGGTCACTAGAACTCTTCAGGGCAAGACTTTTCCTCTTTAATTGGCTTTCTGTTTATCTTTCCTCTTTGGCATGAAATACAGAACAAGGGTGCTGTTTGTTTTATTTACCAAGGCTTCTCCAAGATCTGCAGTCATGGCTTATCTTAATGGACTTCAACATACTTGATGAACTGAGTGAGTCCATCTTGACCATGTAGAGAGACATAGGCACCCCTGCCTTACACATGCCTCCGTCAGCCCCCTCTAACCAGCACGTACCCTCTTTGCTTTAAAATCTGGCCCTATTGTATCACCCTCTGGAATGTGGTTAAACACAGATGAACAAACAAGTTCAGAGATAGAGGCCTGAGGGGGTGGGGGCTGCACTGGGGCCAAAAGATTCATGAGCTCTCGAAAGATCAAACTGAAAATGATTGTCTAACAGTCCAGCTTAATCATTCTTTAAGGGAGGACCAAATGTCACCCCGTGATATACCCTGCCCCATTACTCAGTGAAAGTACATTATGTTACTGGTAGTTACATCTGAGCAGTAATTAGGACTTACTCAGCTTTTCTGGTGGTCACTGACATGAACAGTGTGCATGGCTCAGTTCTCATAACACCTCTATGGGCTCTTACTTTACTACAATAAGGCTGAGATTCAGAAAGGGTGAGTAATATACTCTAGACTACACTACAGGTAGCTAGCAGAACAGGACTTGAACCCAGGTCTGTCTAACCAGCAAAATCAGGTTTTTAATACTTGTGCTATGATGTTAAAGATTTTCCCTGAGAAAACCATAAAGGCCTGAGGGAAAAGACAGGGATCTGTGGTCAGTGCAACAGTGAAGACAGACCAGTCACCCTCATTGTCTCCAGCTCACCCTGAGACGACGTTTCTTTTCTTTCCTTCTCACTTCTCAAGGCACAGCCCCAGTGCTGTCCCCTCTGAAGCCATGTCACACACTGCCCATGGAGAGGAAAGTCCCTCTCCACTTCCCATGTTATGTTCTTGGTGTCAGTGCCACAGAGAGGTGGCATGGTTTCTTTATTCTTGCTTATTAATCTGCCTCCTGGTGTGGGCTATGCTTCATTCCTGATACAGCGTTGGCAGGCAATAGATGGTGTGGACATTTGCTGAGTTACTTTATCATGAGGGTTCTCTCCTTAGAGTCACAAAATTTGACTTCTGGATCACTTAAGCCAAGGGGAGTGTTTTGGTAGTGTGAGGTAGTGACCCACTGAATGAAAAGATAAAAGACAAGCTACAGAAGGACAGAGGCAGTGACGGCCCCCAAGGCGTGGGAGTCTACTGCTAGGATCTGGACTTAGGTATAAGATGTAAGACTTAGGGACAGAGTGTGGTTTGACTCTAGTGACTTGGTATGAGTATTGTCTCTCAGAAAGGGCTTGATGTATTACTTGATTCCTAATGAAGATTTTTTTGAAAGACCAAAGCATCCATATGGATATACCCACCATGGCTATAGCCAGGGGCAGAAATGTTGTTCTCAGTGGAGTCATCAGTGGGAAAGTTTGGTTATCAAATGGTAACTGCCTTTCATTGCTGCTCTTTTGTTTGTGAAACAGGTATCCTCACGATGCAGCTCTCCCACCCCAGGACCACCTCCTTTGCCACAGAAATCATTGGAGACCAGGTAGGAGAATTGAATGTTTCCTTCATCTGGGGGCTCACAAGGTAGATGGTGACTGGGCAGGTGTGGCGAGCATAGCCACAAGGCCCTGGGCACAGTGTCAAGCCAACCTCTCCTGGCTACTGAGGGGTTTCCTCACCCATAGGCTAAAGTCACTAACACTGAGGATAGACCTAGCCAAGGGGCTCATTAGCTATAATCCCTCCATTTCCTCTCCAGCCACTGGTAGCACCATCCCCTCTCTGTGCATTTAATGTCCTCAGCAGAATGGCCCCTATGAAGAGATGGGTCCCCTGAGCTGACTGCTCTGAATAGGTAGTGCCAAAATGGAGGGTTGGAGGATCTAGGCCGTGCTTCAAGCAATGGATGGCGGTGTGCTTCCCTCCTCTCAAAGGAGGCACTTGCAGCTTCCTACTCAAATTACGTTTGGATTTTAAGACAAGGCAGCATGAGCACTTTTCCTCCACCCTGACTCTTCGGATACTGGGCTTCCACAGGGAAACTCAGTAGTCATCGCTTATCAGTACCACACACTGTTGGGCCAGGCGCCCCGCCCTCCTGAGGTCTTAATTTATATAAGGATGATTCTCTCTGACCTTTACTCCTAGCCTAAGGCAGGCTGCTGGTTAAGCATCTAACATGCCCTATGCATGAATGACACCGAGTGACTCTTTTTCCATGGTCACTGTGATTCCTTTCTTTATTTATCCAGGGCTCAGAAGAAACTTTCCTGTAGTCTGGAAGACTTGAGACGTGAATCTGGGGATAAGGTCAGCTCCTTAACCAGCTGTGCCAATACTGAGTTACTCTTTAGGTCCAGTGCTGGGCTGTTTGGGTAGGCACAGGCAGGTTTTGGGAAATCCTAGAGAAGGAACAGCAAGGTCAAAACCATATGCCACATCAAAGCCACAGAAGATCATGGATTCTGGCCTTGTCTCCCCAGTATAGCTGGGATCTCTGCACAGATTCTGAATGAAGGAGTAATGTAGGTAAAGGGAGTGATATCAGGAGTACCATGTGGGATAGATTAAAGGGGTAGATTAAAATGAAGTCTAGAAAGATCTGAGGAGGGCTTTGTGTCCCCCTGTGTGGGGATGGGCTTGACTGTGTGACTGGGCCCAGTGTTAGAGGGGACAATGAAGGCTTTAAGTTTAGCGGTGACTAAGTACAGTCTTGCCGTGATTGAGCCTCGGTGAGTTATGCTTCATACTGTCCCCTGATCTCCATCAGAGTGACATGCTGGAGATCCACGGAAGTTGGAGTTGCCAGGAAACAACCCCCAGCCACGTGCCTCTTGCTCCATGAGTCAGAGTGCTGGCAATTGCCCAGGGTATCTGTTTACTGGCTAGACAGTGGCCTGTTTCTTGCTGTGGGTGGTGGTCATCTGACATGGATAGAGTACTTACATCTCCATGTATCAGATGTAAGCAGGAAGGTGGTTCTGAGCTGCTGATTGTGACTAATGCAGCTCTCTTTTTCTCCTCATGCTTGAATCCTTCTTGTCACTCCATAGTGTGTTGATGGGAACCAGCTGTCCCTGATAGGAGAGCTCAAGGTACATATTTTTATGTCCTTATCATCTATCCCTGGGTCTAATGTTTGTTAGAGTATGTTAGCTCTTGTAGCCTTAAACTATGTTAACTGTAAGAGTTAAAGAATGAGGAAAGGGGAAATGTCATTATTATGTAGTTGTATGCATAATGCACTTCCTCTGCTCTTGTCTGTTTTATTATTTTAATCACTTCTGCCTTGTAGGCTCAGAGAAACTAATCGTTAAAGAAGGCTAGGCTTAGTTACTGGGTAGAAGGTGCTGTAACCTCTGCACAGAAGAATGTTGGCAAGACTCCTCTTCTGTGCTGAGATACCACTGTTAAAAACACAGGTGTGCACTCAGTCTATCTTCAGGGAACATGTTGTGTTATAAAAACTCCGTTAGAACTCTTTCTCCTTCAATCCTGTAGAGGCAGATGATTATAGTCATAGGCTGGTAGACTAAAACTGAGCTCATGGTAATCTGAATCTTTGTATAATTAGTGTCAGCCCCACCCAGCCACCATGTAAGAGTGTGCATGGCCCTTCTGTCTCTTCTGCCTTCCAAAGGAGACATGAGGCTTCACTGCATGTGCCCTGAGAAGGCTGTTCATATTTTCATACCACTGTGGCAGAATGGAACATTTCTATTCTTCTAACTCTTTGCAGAAGAAAGACCTCATCAGTACTTTCATATCTATCAGGAAAGGGCTTCTCTTCACTTCTGTATTTATGGCAGTCAGTGCTGTGTTTAGTCAGGCCATGGGGATTGTAAGAAAATGTCTTCTGCCTGTTCTTTTATCAGTCTCTTCTGTCTTGTGGCCCCTTGGCAAATCTGAGGCCCAGACATCACTCTTTCAGCCTCAGCTTCCAAGAAGCCATTCATACTTGTCTCTAAGTAACAGATGTAAGTGGCCACCTCCTCCTTTGGGGATGCAGCTGGTTCACATTCATGCTTTCAGACACAGAGCTGCTTACTGTGGAAGATGAGGGTGCAGGGCTGCGTCCAGAGGGTGCATCTTCCAGGTTGAAGCTAGCGCTCCCATACCTTAGATCATAATTACAACCTTAAGAAATGCCCCTTAGCTCAACATGACCACCTCTTCCCTCCACATATGCGCTACCTCATCCCAGCAGCATTCCACAGGTACAGTAATTTTCCCGCAACATCTTCTTACTGGTGCTTTGACTTAAACTAAGGCTTTTTAGGCCTGAGTCTCAGTTCCTTATGTTGTAGTCACCCTTGCATTCTGACTGCTAGCCGTATCTCCTGAGTTCCTCAGACTTTGCACCCCTGACATGGTCTTCTGTGGAATGAACCAGTCTCACCCACTCCCACCACTCTAGAATCAAGATGCAGCCTGTGATGTGCTTTTCTGGATCTAGGGTCTGTTTTTCTTGATTGCTGTCCCACTTGGACCTGACTTGTTACGTTTTCTGTATCTCTGTTTGCTCTTTCCTGGTCTCTGTGCATATTATTTTTCATTTAGCTCAGGGGAGGAATTGTTAT